AACGCTCAGGATATAGAAACATAGCCCTGGAGTCCCAAAGACTTGGAGGCTGCACTAGACATCGTTGTACCTCCAGCCTGGTACGGCAGGTGCGGCGCGACGGTTACGCTAAGATGCAGGTGCGAACTTCCACAAACCTGAGCTCGTCTGTCACCTTCTACCAGCACACCTCTACACGTGTTCCTCTATGCGCTTTCTGTTTTGCATTTCTCTCGGTATCTGTCTCCCACATGCGGGGTTCCTCGTTTCATCATCAAAGGTGCAGCCGTAGAGTTCCTCCATCTCCATTTCAACCGAGTTTGCTACGAGCCCCGTATATACAATCAAATGGATTCGCTCACAAAACCCGCGATGTTTTCGATTTGTATTCATAGATGTAATCATGCTGCCGAGAATCACAGGCCAGCACGACGTACGACTGGCTTTTCTAGTTGTAAACCCCGAACATTACCCTAAAGATTTTCAGCAATTTTCGTCTCTATCCAAAGCATTAGCCAGTCGCATCGTAGTTTCCACAGTATACTTGATGTTTTCCAACCAGTCTTTGAGATCGCACGTCTTTCTACAGTCCAGGTTCTCAGCATGGTTATACAGCGCTGCTTTCCCGCTTATCGGCAGCATCACCTCTGAATCCACGGTTGCTTGTACTCACTCATCTCGCAATCGCGCTTGCTTCGAGTTTTGTGTATTTTGGAGCGTTGCTTGATTGGGTGAGCGATTCGTTTGCCGTGGCTAGACCGCACCTTCCTCACGTTCACCAGCGACTGCATGTTTACATCTCACCGCGCGAGCTTCACGTCGCAGGCCACAACAACATAGCTCTCCAGGGCTGCGTCTTCAGCCATCGTCTATCACTTCATATCTCAGCACGTATTGCATCCACTCGTTGACGAACAATCACGATCAAACATGGGGCGAGGCGCTCGTCTCAGGTCAAAGCGAGCCAACCAATGGGCAACCGGCAGCACGGCTTCTCACAGAAACCCGCAAGCACCGCAAAACAACAATGCGTACGCAACTCTGGAAACATTGGAGTATGAAGGTAAGTCTTGTCTCGCATCCTGTTCCGAGGCAGCAACACCAGCTCCGCATACGTCTTCCCGAGAGCTCTTACCTCCGCTTTTACTAGAAATCGAAATGAACAACGCTAAAATCATATCAGATCAAGAAGTGAATGCCGACCTCGCGGAGCGGTTCCGAGGCATGCCTTCCAGCTTTTCCGAACCCAATTACATCCCCCACGACGGCATTCCCAGGTTCGGACGGCCCAGGCCCAACAACGACATACGGGAGTACTTCGAGCTAGCCAAGCTACAAGTCGCTGGTGGGGCATGGCTAGGCAAGCCCGAGATCCCTAGTCCCTCGGAAATATTACGCCCAGAATCTGATATCAAGAACGGTAACGAGGCACTCATCGAGGTTGACGAAACCATTCGCCCGCACAAGCCAGAAGGTGCATACAAGGACGAAGAAGAATATCTGGGAACCAAGTACGAAATTCTACGAGAGGACGCAGTCCGATCACTCCGAGAAATCATTAGTGAGGTTCGCGCAGATCCTTTCAAAGATGAGGCGGAATATAGCGACCAGAGTATTGGTATCTACGATCCCGTGTATATTAAATCACTTGTGTTCTCTCTGCGAGGGCTCGCAACGCGTGTTGCCTTCTCACTCAGCCGAGTCAAGAAGCACATTCGGTAAGCCATGGCATGCGTTCTAATGCTTGGTACTGGCTAACGATTCCAGATGGGAGCAATCGAAGAGATTGATAACTGGCACCCTTGTTGCCTTGTCGCCTACCGACGATGCGTTTCAGACCCAATGCGTTCTGGCCGTAGTCGCAGCCCGCCCCATATCTGCGCTAGAGCAGAATCCGCCTGAGATCGATCTCTTCTTCGCGCGTCCGGAAGATCAAGAGATAGACCCAATGCGGAAGTGGATCATGGTGGAGTGTCGGAGCAGCTTCTTTGAAGCGAGCAGACATACTCTACTTGCTCTTCAGCACCTCATGAGAGAGCCGTTTCCGTTGTCGAAGTATTTGGTGCATGTCCAACAGGAGGTTGAGCCTCCACGCTACATCAAGCATAACCCTTTCGTCAATCTAAGCTCCCTCGTAAGTATGGAGGAGAGTACAGCATACGAGAACGTCAATGTATTGGAGGATTGGCCTACCATGTCCTCGCACACTCTCGACAATTCTCAGAGCAAGGCTTTGAAACGGATGTTGACAAGCGAGCTGGCTATAGTGCAAGGCCCCCCGGGAACAGGAAAGACATTCGTGTCTGTCGTGGCATTGCAGATCGCCCGCGATAATCTACGCAGAGATGACTCGCCTATCATTGTTACTGCACAGACAAACCACGCTCTCGACCAGCTACTGAGACATACTTCACAGTTCGAGCCCAACTATATTCGTCTGGGAGGCAGAAGTAAGGACAAGGAGATCAAGAAGCGAACTTTGTATGAAGTCCGCCAGGATCTACCCCAGCAAAAACAGCCAGGCAGTCAGAAGGTTCAAGCTACTATCGCACTGAGGAAGCTGACGGTTCAGTGTCAGCTGTTACTGGCACCTCTGGAAGCTAACAAAGGCCCTCTCGATCATAAAGTCTTGCAGAGTCTGGGGTTGATGACCAAAGAGCAGGCCGAATCGCTCGAAATGGACTCACAGTATACTATGGGGGGTTCATCGACCGATAGTCCGGGCATCTTGATGGAGCAATGGCTTGGAAGATGTCTGGCACCGTGCGATCATCCGATTGGGCCAGACCAGTTTGACTGGGGATACGAAGAAGAAGACCTGGAAGTGGAACAGCTCAAGGAACTCGAAGCAGAAGCCGTGGCTCAGGACGACGACGATATCGAAGCTCTCCGTGGAGAAGTGGTATTGTTGCGTGACAACCACAAAGGTACTGGAGCGTCGCTGAACAATGCCGATATTGCGAACATCTTACGGAAGACGGACGATCTGACGATGATTCCCGTTACCCAACGCGGCACCATTTACAACTACTTCAAGCGAGAGGCTAAGAGAATGATTACCACCGAAATCCGCAAGATCGCTAAAGGCTACCAAGAAGCAGTGTTCCAACGCAAGGCAGGCATGTGGGAAGAAGACGTGCGTGTTCTCAGCAAAGCGCGCATCATCGGCTGCACCACAACAGGTCTATCAAAGTACCGCGCTCTACTTTGCGCTCTTCGACCACGCATCTGTATCGTCGAGGAAGCAGCCGAGACATTGGAGGCGCCTGTCACTGCAGCCTGTTTTCCGAGCATGGAACACCTTATCTTGGTCGGGGATCATCAACAGCTGCGACCTCATACCCAAGTGCGTGCATTTGAAGATGAACCATACTTTTTGAACCTGTCATTGTTCGAGCGTCTAGTCTGGAACAACGTCGCTTTCGAGACACTCACCAGACAACGTCGTATGATTCCAGAGATCCGACGTCTCTTGTATCCCATCTACCAGGATACGCTCAAGGATCACAAGAGCGTGAAAGATCTCGATAATCGTCCCCCAGTCGAGGGTATGGGCGGCAACAACAGCTTCTTCTTCTGCCATGAGTGGCAAGAGTCCCGCGACGCCAACATGTCGGCAGTAAACGCAGCTGAGGCAAGGATGATCGTTCAGTTCTTCGACTACCTAGTCCTCAACGGTGTAGATGCCACCAAGATTACCATCTTGACCTTCTACAATGGCCAACGCAAGCAGATCCTCCGAGACATAAGGGCGCATCCGAATCTGCGCATGTACCCCGGCATCCAAGTTGTCACGGTGGATAGTTACCAAGGCGAGGAAAACGACATTGTCCTGCTTTCTTTGGTGCGGTCGAATCACAAGCACTCCATTGGCTTCTTGAGCTCTGAAAATCGCGCTTGTGTCGCGCTTTCTCGAGCGAAGCGTGGCTTCTACATCTTCGGAAACGCAGAGCTTCTAGCCTGCGAGAGTGGTACGTGGGCTTCTGTGGTTGATATCATGTTCAAGAACAAGAAGTCCAAGCCAGCTACAGGTCAAGAGCGACGCGTGGGTTATCAGTTTCCGCTGAAATGCCGCAACCACGGACGCAAAATATGGTGCGAAGTGCCCGAGGACTTCGATCTCATCAAAGGCGGCTGCGAGATCAAGTGCGAAGGCTCGTTGCCGTGTGGTCATCGCTGCCCGTATCCATGTCACCCCTTCGAGCACGACATGATCAATTGCACACAGAAGTGCTCCAAGCGTGTCGAGGCCTGTGGTCATCCTTGCGTCGCGGAGTGCTGCGATCCTTGCAAGTGCCACATGTGTGAGCGGCGCAGTGGAGGCGTCAAATCAACGCTGAAACCAGCGAACGGGGCAACGTCGTTTCGTGGAGCCCGGCCAAACACGCGAAGCTTGATGCTCGAAGACACGCTGCCTGCGACCTCTAGACGTGCTGTGCGTTCCGACACACCCACTGCACGCATAACGACTCCGGGGCTATCGGACTGCAGTACCATGCAGTGGGATGTATACGCCAATGGCGGTGGTGTCCAGGAAGATGACGCGCGAGCCTTTGCAAAGATGAAAGCAGAGGAGGCCGAATACCACGCCCGTAGGGCATCCACACCCCAGACTGGCGTTTCCGCTTCAGACGGCAGGCTTATCGAGATGTCGCCAGTGAAAGCAGGACCTGTGTCCAAGAACACAAACCTGCTCCTGGAACTCGACTTTGAGCCAGAGCATAACCAACAGAAGAGCCGGGCGCATGCGAGTGCTGCAAATGCCTCTTCCAATCTGCTCGATTGAACGACTCATGGTAAAGAAGCCGCCACGAGTACGTTTAAAAATCTTTAGCTAACTCTTCATTAGAATGTGTCCTCCTGGGTACCACACGTGGGTGGAGTACTTTAGACGTTATGGCAGCTTAGAAGAAGGGGTTGCTGTCTTGCTGTACTACCTTCGTGCTAACAACTGATGGGCCTCATCTCATGCCCGGGGTATATAGCTGAATGTGCAAATCACTCCATCATATCCTCCATGCTTAGTCCTTCCTGTCCCCATCCATCTTGACCTCAAACACCTCGCCTGCCAACTTTGCGACCTCGCCACCCAGTCGAGCAAGCCCAGCCTTGATACCCTCAACCGTCTGAGGCGTCAGGTTGCCGTTCCGCGAATAGAAGTCTACGCCTGCAGGCGTGAACAGGGTCTTCGCGAAGTATGTCACGACCCAGCTGTTCCCTGTGCCTTCCTCATCACCATAGCCCAGTATTTCCCACTTGCTCGTCGCAATCACCAGCCATCCCTTGCCACGCCAGTTGTATCCGAGACTCGCTACGCCGTCACCACCCTCTGCATCTGGCGCTGAGGCCGTGTTTGGCACGTCGAACGGCTTATCCACACCATGCACCGTCTTGATCTTCTCAGAGCCGAGGGATTGGTACGTGACGACGTCGTCGATTTGCGCGGGCTGCGTGTCGGGAATGGCCGTGTAGGTGATGCGTACGTTGCGCGACTTCTTCCACATAGGAAGCGTGGAGTGGGTTACATTCCAGGAGCCCGATAGCCATGACAGAGTGGGTGGTGCGAGCGAGGGGGACGGTTCGGTAGACGGCAGGGACGATGGAGCGCGGAGGGTTACCATGGTGAGGCGGCTGATGATTGGCGGTGTCTGTGGAGATGGACGCGTGGAATCTGGAGAGATTTTGTGGGTATCTCGAGGATGATGACAATTGGCGGTCGATGAGGTTGGAGGGACAACGGATTTTTTTCGACGTGGCTGGTTGGGCAGCGGTGTGGTGTGATGTTCCGCGCGCAGAAGTCGCGATGGTGTTGCGATACTCAGTCGCCCGACACCAGGGACGTCGACGCTGCTATATGCTTCATATTTACTTTTGATTAGCTGTAGATCTCAATCCCATCTCTGCTCATCATCGCGTCTGCCATCATCATCAACACTCGATAACGCGACAGGGCTAGCAGATCGACGCTACCGGGAGCCAGTGCAGCCGGATGCACGTGCCAAGCCACCAGCCGCAGCCCGCCACTCCAACAATAGATCGTCGTGTCCATGGAAAATCGGACAACCTGACATCACCATGCCGCGCGCGGACGCGTAACGCCCTTCCCACGGCAGTCTTGGTCGTCTGCCACTGCCATGTCCCGCCAGCAACGGACTTCCCAGAACCCGATGTCGCCAATTAATGCATCAAACCCATGTTTCGACTGCGTCGCGGCGGCTCTCGGTTGGCCGGGGGGTGACGAGGCCTGAAACTCTTGCACCAGTTTGTCCGCGTCGCTTCGCGGGCTGTGCAAGAGTACGAGAAGGCCGTTTGTGAAAATGCTCCGCGTCGCTCCACTCTTTGTGGCAGTTTGATGGTTGGTAGCGCGCCACTTTTTTTCTCTTGGGGCCCAGCTACCAGCTGTTTGCAAATGATTACTGTATACGGGTCTGGGTGGCTAGGCTGAGACGACTGCTGCGTAATGGTATAATAGCAGATGTGACCCCAGGGTCTGACGCTTCTGGAGTAACTCATTTTGCTTTTTACAACGGTTTTATACATCGAGCGATACTGTCCTCCACCTTGTTTGGGAGTATCTGATTGACTGCTTGATCTTCCCTGCATACGATTTACGACTTCCGTTTGACGACGACAACGACCAACGGCTACTGAGCCTACTACACGGAGAAAGGACCATTCTACACACAACTCACACAACATGTTTTCAAGAAGCATACTGCTCCAAGCTGCGGCTCTTTTGCCCTTACTCTACACACCCGCCTCTGCACAAAATGCATGCAACAACTCACCCGATCTATGCACGCGGCCATACAACAACATCACTTACCTAGGGGCACACAACTCGCCCTTCCTCCGCAACAAAGAGACATCCTTCTCCACATCCGGAAACCACTACTACAACACAACAATACAACTCGATGCCGGCGTGCGCCTCCTCACCGGCCAAGTCCACAAATCCAACGACAGTGGCAACGCAGCCTGGCACCTCTGCCACAGCAGCTGCGACCTCCTTGACGCCGGCACACTGGAAAGCTGGCTCGGCGAGATAAAAACCTGGATGGACGCCAACACAAACGACGTCGTAACACTCATCCTCGTAAACTCAGACAACGCCTCACCCGCTGATCTCGGTGGCGTCTTCTCCTCGTCCGGCCTCGACAAGCTCGCCTACAGCCCGCCAGACCAAAGTACCGTGCCGCAAACATGGCCTACGCTCGACACCCTCATCGGCAACAACACGCGCCTCATGTCCTTTGTCGCCAGCCTGGATGAGCCCTCAGCGGAGTTTCCATACCTCATGGACCAGTTTACCTACGTGTTCGAGAACGACTTTGAGAACATTTCACCCTCGAACTACTCCTGCAATCCGTCTCGCCCATCCGCTGTCGCTGGAAACCCGTCTACGGCTCTCGAATCCGGTCGCATGTTCCTGCAGAACCACTTCTTGTACGAGACGCAACTGTTCGGCATTCAGTCGCCCAACGAGACGTATGCGAATGTAACGAATGCCGAGACGGGCTTTGGTAGCTTGGGTGAGGCTGTACAAGAGTGTACAACTGTGTACGGAAAGCCAGCCAGCTTTGTCATGGTCGATTTCTTCAATGTGGGACCGGCGATTGCGAGCGTGGACCGTGCGAATGGTGTTAGCGGTGCGCAAGGAAGAAAGCAACTGAGCACAGAGCCGCTGGTGCAGAGCACTGGTGCAGGTGTGAAGGAGAGCGGGAGTCTACTAGCTGTCGTCTTGGCAGTCGGTGTTGCTGTCCTGTTCGGAGCGTAAAGTTGGGATTAGTTGTACGGCATCTTGGATTATCTGCATGGCGACGGCGTTATGGTCTTCGGATCCTGAGCTTTGACTCGGATATGGGTTATACTGGGTGGCATGGATTTGACTTCGTTTTGGGACAGAACGATTGACACGGCACTTGTCACACTTTGCTACGTCTGGATATGTAGTTTAAGTAGAGATAGATATGATCTTACGATTGAATACGATTCATCAACCTAGTAACACAATCGCTCCTCATCATTTCCGTTCCTCAATCATGTATGCTTAACTATTCTTGGAAAGGCGTGAACTTCTCCAAAACGTTCTCGGCGTTCTTCAAATCTTCCATCAACACTTGCCTATGTGCCTCACTCCTGACGCGAATCTCACACTCAAACTTCTGCGGCCGGATGTTAAAACCCTCTGTATATGCAAAGGTATCATACTTGACCCCTTCCTTGGGCCGGATATCGAATGCCCAGAGAATCTTCGCCAGCGCAATGTACAAACTGTTCTCCGCGAGGTTGGCGCCAGGACAGATGCGTCTTCCCCATCCAAACGAAGAGTGTCCTGATTTCGCCGGATGAGGTTTGCCCGTAAGTGGTGTGGGAGCCTTGGAGCGTTCAGCGAGCGCTTCGTCGAGAAAGCGTGCGGGGTCGAAGCGGTGTGGATTAGGATAATACTCCTCGTTTAGGTTGATGGCCCATGAGTTTCCTAAGACGGTGGTGCCAGAAGGGATGTAGTAGCCTTCGTAACGATCGTCTTCTGTGGATGCATGGGGTGTGCCACCTAGGACTGCGACAGGACGCCAGCGCAGAACTTCCTTGACGAGAGCGCGAATGTATGGGAGGCTCGCTTCATCTTCAAATGTGGGGCTGCGGTCCGCGCCAACAACAGTGTCCAGCTCATGGTGGGCGGCGTGTAAGCTCTCAGGGTGTGTGACCAATGCCAGGAAGGCGGTGCATAGAGTCGATGCCGTAGTATCAGATCCAGCGCCAAAGAGAGATGCTGGGATGTACGAGAAGTTGCGATCTGACAGCGGGATGTGCTCTTTCTCTCGTAGTTCTAGAAGAAGCTTGCACAACGAATCTGGGATATCGTCACCCTGGACTTTTGCCCTCGCTAGATCCGAGCGTACAACATCCACCAGAGCCATGTTTGCAGCTGCCTCCTCGCGACCACGTGCTTTTATGTCAGCCTTCCAAGGTGCCAGCGCATCTGGAACATGCTTGAGGATAGGAAACGACTCGGCGAGGTACTTTCCGGGTACGTTGAGCGAGGCAGCGACATGCATGAACTTGAAGCGCTGGTGGATGACGTTGGCGTTGAGCGAGTCGATGCGATGTCCGTATGCGACACAGAACACGATACTGGAAGTGAAGCGCTCGAGGAGCTTCTCCCAATTCGCAGGGCTTTCGAGCAGCTGGTAGCACAGTCGTGTTGCCTCTGCGGTCTGTACCGGCTTGTATAGCCTTAGCGCTTTAGGAGTCATGGCCTGATGTAGCAGCTTCCTCCGCACACTCCACTCTTTACCATATGGCTGTACTAGTATACTAGCATTGTCCCATAGTATCTCACCCATGACTACCATACGTGGTCGCGACGAGTATTTCGTGCTACGCTTCTCCATCAGCTCGACAGCGATGTCCGGATCGGATATGACGATTGTAGGCTTGCGGCCAATCCATATGGTAAAGATGGGACCATATATCTTGGACCATCTCTGGAACTCGATCCAGGGCTTCGACTTGGGTAGCTGGAGCTTGTTGCCGAGGAACGGGAGAGGCGTGGGTCCTGGGGGCATTCGGAGCCATACCCAGACATCGTGAAGGAGCGTTGCGAGGGGTACTGCGAGGACTAGTGAAAGCCATAGGTAGGGCGGCAGGTGAAGGAGGGAATCTAGTGCCATGTTAACTAAGTCGCACAAGTGAATAGACGCTGCTACTCTCGAGGGTTGGCGAGGATGTATACGATGATATGTACTTACAACACCGGAGTTAGGCGATCATACAGACTCCAACGTGACGCTCGGCAGTTGTATTCGCTCGCTATTGTTGCTCCGCGATGGCGGGAAGAAGATGCGGGGCGCCATTCGGTCGTTCACCGTGTCAACTGGGCGCCACCACCACCTGTGTCCTCCACTCATATGCCATTACACGGATGGACATACGGGCTCCTCGGAAATATGTCGAAATGGCTAGGGAGTTATTGTGGCTGTTGTGAGAGACAGCAATGACGCCGACTTCGAGCTCGGGGTAATTTACCCGCGTTAGCGTGTTGTGGAGAATCCCGCTCCACTTTGGAGAAGACATAACCGTGGACACATCTGTATCCGCCATCCTGCTGCACTCGCATTCACTTGAGTTAAAACAAATTACAATGATGAGGAACTGAACTAACAGTGTGAATCGTCTCTATTCAGAACTTGTTTTCGGTGAAGAGGTGTTGCTTGCGAACAGCGCCACGCGTTTGCTGCCAGTGGTCGCATTCACAATGAGGTCTGCTGTAACCGTCCAAGTATATCAGACATATATTTTATATTCCCTATTCATCGTCTCTCACAACTTCAATTGACTCTGATACCTGGATCGAGAATTAGTTATTCTCATTACCATCGGATACACATCGAAAGCTCAACTATGGAGAAGCTCCCAAACGAACTGCTCATCAAGGTTGCGTCTGATCTAGATCGCGAGAGCCTACGCTCGCTAGCATTGGTCTCTAAAAAGATGGAGCCCGTCGCTCGAGATCTACTCTGGCGCGCCGTCCGCGTCCCCGATCGGACCTTACCTGATGAACCCAGCGGCATTGCAGCTTTAGCACACATTCTGGTCCAAAATCCAAGTCTAGGAAAGA